AGCAACTTTGGTCTGCTTGGACAGTTACAAAGATGGAAACAAAAAAGATTATAATGGAAGAAAGTCTTTACCCCTGCCTCTTCTGCAGTTCCCCCATTTTCATATACAGATACCAAGGACCTTATCTTTTTTTTTCAATAAAAAAGGGAAATTTTTTCACCACAACTCTTATGTCTGTATCTGAGATTCAAATTCACACAATACAGACATTATGACTTACTTAAAATATATGCAGTTCATTAATCAAACTAGTATGTATTTTTCTCTTTTAATAAGGTTAAAAACACACACACACACACAAAGTGAAAAATATGACATCCCTTCCTGTTTTAAACCTCTACCATTAAGAGTGTTGTCAGACGTTGTCAGCCCAGATCATCCCAGCCCCGTCATTGGCCCTATTCTGAGTTAACAGACCTTTACAAGACGGGTCTCACATCATTAACCCCAGAGACACTGGCTACCTGGTAGAGAACACTACCCACATACCTGACATAGTTACTGGCTTCTGAACAAACTGCTTTACACAGATTTATTACACTGCTGTTATTGAAATCATCTCTTCTTTTTGGTGGAGTGATGTGCTGAATGTCAAAGTCTTTTTATTTACTGAAGTTTGCTATTAGTTCAGATAGATCTGTTTTCAGGTCACCGGTATTTAGAAAGTTTTTATACATTTACAGAAATTTGTTATAAAGACAGGAATGAAGTATTTGCTCCATTTTGATAACTATGAGTAACACGTTAAAATAAATGTCAATCCTAAGCAAGATTTTCTTTACATTTGTAATTAAACATGCACAATATGTGAACAATCAGCATCTTCTACATTCTTATAAGTAATTTTCTCCAACCAAAATAAAAGATGTCTCATTTCCTCCCTTAAACTAGCTATATATTTGTAGCAAATTAAATGCGTTTTTCTCAAGAAAATAAAACCTCGGGACAGGTGAATGAAATCTTGCTGCTCTTCAATGTCTCAAACACCTCTTCAAGAGTTCATTACGATTCAGGAGAATTTTTTTAAATTTTTAAATTTTTTTAAATATGTTTCATGTATGAGAACTCAATCAAGGTGGGATCTCCCAAATCCCCCCCCCCCAATGATCTCCCTCCCATTTCATCATAAGTCATAGTAACTGCAGTCTCCAGTCAGTCTCTCAGCTACCAAAGCATTCCGTGGCACTCTAACCCGATCTGTGACAGAAAGAAACCCTTCAACTGACATGGAAACCCTTGATATAATACTGAAGTGGGAGTTGCAATATTTCAGTCTAACAAAGCCCATCAAGTTTTTCACTTGTTTCCTGTTCAAACACTTCCCAGTGCCTGTAAATAGAGGACAGAAATCCTCTCAATGTCAGGTAACTGTGGCTGATCACAGTGTGGCTGATTACAATGGCTGACCTCTGGGTGCCAGGACAGTGTATACAGAAACTTAGGGCCCCCTCACAATGAGTTAAGTTGCCCTAGCTTGTGCCCACTAAATCCACAGGGACTCTTGCTAAATGCAATCGCTGATTAACAGACTATCACTCATCCTCTTGTTGCCAACATACTCATCTAATCATGAGCTTCTTCGCATCATAATTGACGCTATGAAGAGATGGGGGAGGGGGGGGGGGTTAGCCCCTGTACAACGAAACTGGATACACTTCCACATATCATTCAGTCTTGTATAATACACTATACATTCCTTAACATTTTAAACACTGAAAGAATCATATCCAAACAGTACTGAGTTGAGGTAATAAAACTTTTCTTGTGATAAACACCAAGTTGATGATGTGTTTTTTCAAAGGATGTTATCAACAGAGAAGATCTCCTGGGGACTGGGTAACAATGGAGCACCTGTAACAACAACCTGTAACAGTGGAAAAAAACTTTAAAAAACTGGCCTTGGAACTGTAACAATAGGAGACACCCCAACAAACAGAGCCACACTGTATGGCTATCAACTCCGCTGAACAACATGTGATCTCTGTTTTTCCAAACTGTGTGCGTTATCCTCAGATGGTCAGTGTCCGTATACATATAACATTTATTTCTATTATTTTTTTAAATCTGCCCTGGGGTCACCGTGTATGAATCTGTGGTCAACTTATCAATGACATCTTATTAAAAGGAGCAAAACAACAATCCTCAACCAGACATATTTGTTCTGTGATTCATCATTTTTTTTAAACTTCAAAAGTTCTCTGTAGTGGTCCAGTAATGTGGTCCGGCTACCCTGGACACTGCCCAAGACTGCCCGCAGTGGTCACAGGATCACACCATCCAGCCGTTTTGTCTTCACTGACCAGACCATGAAATATGTACTACAACCTTTTTTTCTTCTTTGACCATTGTCTGACAGTTGCCCTGAGGGCACTGGACATGGCTGTTACCCAGCTCTGCCCAAACAATACTTGTCTTGTATTACATATATAAATCAATTTCAGACATATAAAAATGTGATAACAAGAGATGGTAGTCTTTTAGCCCCCTTTTTTTTTGGCATACACTTACCTTCCACCAACAGCAAAATCAGAGATGGCATAGAAGTAGGATTTGAGAACCTTAGAGTCTCCGAACACTTCGTCTCCAAAAGTGTTCAGTCTGTTCAAAGTAATCATGATGTCCGTAGCTGTCACCCATTCCTACAATGTAAGATTTTATCAACATGTTTATAAATACATGCAAACCATTTTATTTTTCAATTGGTATATATACAACAGTATAAGAGACTTTAATAAAACATTGATAGGGCCAATTATTAAACAGTGTTTCTAGAAATGGCTGAAATAAAGATTTCATGAAAGCAGTAAACATCGAGATAATTTATTACTTCAGGGGACATTAAAGAAATAAATAAATAAATTCTATCTTACTTTCAGTTTATGGAGGAAATTTATGGCACCTATCTTGGTTTCCATCACTTTTTTCTCTCAAACATTTGACACCCATATGACAGTGTGTTATTTGGGGGCCATATACTTTTACTAGGCCAGTCATTATCATCCAGTAACACAGCTATATGGTTGCTCTGATTATATGGTCTTATAATAAATTATTATCTTAAATGGGATGAAGATTATAAAGGTAATTTTAAAGTGCAGATCTTGTCAAGGGACTGTTTAATAAAACCTGCCAATCATCATTGGGTTTAATGCCTGAAGTTTGAACAAAAAGCTGTTAAAATGAAAAAAAGGACCTTCCCGTTACTTTTCCATGCTTTGTGTTTTATGTCTCTCTTTCAGCAGTGAAAATTTCACCCCATTAAGAAGTTTTATGATGCCTGTACAGTCATTCACCTCAAACGCCCCTTGAATTAGGCATATAATAAATGACCCAGGCATACTCGCAATACTGAGCTTTTGACACAAACTGAAATTAATTTCAGTCATTATTTTTTAACTTTTTTTCTTTAGGTGAGGGTTCAAGACTTGGAATGCAGATCATCTTGGACATAATGATCATGGGGACTTTTGCCTCAGCTATTGATTAAAAAATTTTAACAATAAATAAACAAAATGTGACCTCACTCTACCTATGTACCAGAAATAAAGTGATGCAACTTCAATGTAGTTTTAAAGGTTGAGAAAAGAGTGATTCCTCATAGGGCCAAAAAATTAATTCTAGCAGAGTTCTGAGGATACGTTGCTCTGAAGTGGGGATACGGATTGTCTGATGTTTAAATATATGTGGTCATATTATCATGTTATTAACAAAGTTGTGGCAGCTTAGTGGTTTCTGTGTTGTTGAGTCCTAAATTATCTGGCAGACAACCAACTGAATTGAAAGTACAACTATTTAAGGAAGCGCTGAAGTGGGGAGCAATTCCGTGACTAGCATTCATTTTTTCCTTCGACTTAAAAAGTTCATTATAATTGGCACTTTAGTAGGAGGAAAAAACTCCTCAATTTTTTTCTCAAACAGCCCATTTTGTACATCTCAAGGTACTTCAAAGTGATACAACCATGGTGACAGTTGTAAAAACTGAAAATCCTGAGAACATAGCTTAAAATTTCTCACCACATTTAGACCATGTGCAAAAAAAACAAAAAAAAAACAATATATATATATATATATATATATATATATATATATATATATATATATATATATATATATATATATATATATATATATATATATAATAAAAACATAAGCATAAACTCTTATACTTATAAACATACATTTTTTTTTNACACATCTGTGTCTGTACATAAAAAGACCTTCCCGTTACTTTTCCATGCTCTGTGTTTTATGCCTCTCATTCAGCAGTGAAAATTTCACCCCATTAGGAAGTTTTATGATGCCTGTACAGTCATTCACCTCAAACGCCCCTTGAATTAGGCATATAATAAATGACCCAGGCATGCTCACAATACTGAGCTTTTGACACAAACTGAAATTAAATTCAGTCATTTTTTTTTACTTTTCTTTCTTAGGCAGGGGTTCAAGACTTGGAATACAAATCATCTTGGACAATGACCATGGGGACTTTTGCCTCAGCTACTGATTTAAAAATTTTAACCGTAATAAACAATAAACAAAATGCGACCTCACTCTACCTATGCACCATAAATAAAGTGATACAACTTCAATATAGTTTTAAAGAATGAGTAGAGAGTGATTTCTCGTATGGACAGAAAATTAATTCTAGCAGAGTTCTGAGGATACGTTGCTCTGAAGTGGGGATACTGATTGTCTGTTGTTTAAATATATGTGGTCATATTATCATGTTATTAACAAGTTTGTGGCAGCTTAGTGGTTTCTGTGTTGCTGAGATGGTTCTAAATTATCTGGCAGACAACCAACTGACTTAAGAGTACTGACAACCATTACAACTATTTAAGGAAGCGCTGAAGTGGGGAGCAATTCCGTGACTAGCATTCATTTTTTCCTTCGACTTAAAGAGTTCATTATAATTGGCACTTTAGTAGGGGGGGGGGGGGAAACTCCTCCATTTTTTTCTCAAACAGCCCATTTTGTACATCCCAAGGTACTTCAAAGTGATACAACCATGGTGACAGTTGTAAAAACAGAAAATCCTGAGAACATAGCTTGAAATTTCTCACCACATTTAGACCATATGCTAAAAAAAAAAAAAAAAATCAAATTGAAGACTGAAAATCATGAAATCAGGCATAATCCTGAAAACTTTCAACCATGCACATTTCATTTTTGGCAGCATTCTGAACAAAGATTTGTACAGTTTTTCTCAATACTTTCTCCTTTCCAAGCCATAAACTACCTGGCAGAACGCACTAACATAACCTATCACTTACTTGCAGCACTGGGCTGGAATCAAAACTTGTGGCACTCGGTCGTCCCTCTAGAGTACTGAAAGCCACGTTTCCTCCTGTCAGAGGAGAGATATCGCTGTATTCTTCCGTACATATTGCCTTGGTCTCGTCTGCCCGTGTAATGATTTCCCGCCTGCGTTTGCGATATGTCTGTTCACACGAGGCACTGTAATACTGATAGGGAACAAAGCGACCATCCTGCGATGTTCGTTTGTAAATGGTGAAACTCTCTGGCCTTGGGGAATGGAATTTTAATCTCACATATGTGATATCATATGATTTTCCTGAAAAGAAGGAAACAAAAAAGTTAATTTTAGTATTTAATTTTGCAACTTGGGAAATTACATTTCTCTACATTGTAAACACAGGCACAGGTTTTACCCACTGGTTAAAATGATCAAAACCACTGGCTAACTTTGATTTTAGCCATGGGCTAACCCAACTTCAACCAATTGCCTTACTTCAGTTGCCTTTCTCAGTCAGTTTTGGTACTGGCAGTTTCTCTTCAAAAGTTTATGAACCCTCTCAACTTCATACCAATAAAAATAGACACAAACTATACAAATTACAAAAACACACATACATACATACAAACTACTGGACAATAATGGTTTCACTTGTTATAAGATAATCAAGCTTTAAAAGGGGATACGAATGCAGCATCCAAAAACTTCACAAGCATTTTATATTGTCATAACACGATGACCAAATCCTGTCGAAAACCGTGGATTATCTTGCATTCTCTAAGGCAGTGGTTCATTAAATTTTTGCATACAATCACAGTGAAAAAAATAAAATACACAATATTCATTACAATGCAGCCAACATCTTTCATACATAATAGTTAAGTTGATTATCTGAGGAAAACATGTGACCTACATCCAAACTTATTACTAAAAACTTACTTTGTCCAATATGAAAAAAAAACCTATAACATATAAGACAACTGTTATATTCTATGATTTTCAACTGACTGTCAATTTTTTTATCATAAATCAAGCAAAAGTAAATAATTTAGGACAATATTTCAGTTATGATGACAACCATGTCAGATCAGTTGAAGATAACACAGCTTAACCTATACCACATATTGATGAAATTCACAGGTCTTTTCTTCTTTTTTAAATGAACTATATTATTTTCATCTTTCAGCAGCTTTTACCCATCCACAAACTATTGAATTATGACAGTAACATATGAAAACCACATCTCATCCCATAAAAAAAACTATGCTATTCTGCAACGTGAACCAAACCTCAGCCAAGACAACTTAGTTCTATGGAAATACATTCCAGCTGAAACTTGAACATTTTTTCTAATTTGTACAAGAAACTGTAAAAACAAGTTAGTTTGCAGCCATATAATTGACATGTATTTGCCATAAATCTTTACCATGTTTAGTAGCTGACACATTTACATACAACAGAGAAATGTTGACATTTCAAAACCCAGATGAAAAAAAAACACTAAAAACTGTTCACATTTTACTTCACAAGCCCACTTAAAATCAAATCCAAAGTATGTACAGAAAATCTTCCCACTGTCTTTGCAACAGAAGAATTCCATAGATAAGATAAGAACTACTTCAATAGACATCTTCACTTTTTCATCCTCCTCAGATGCAGAGTGTGACCCTGCCATTTTGTTGTAACTGTCAACTATAATCAGTGACAACAGAGCAGTATGCCGCCAGGGTGACAGCACAGTGTGCCACAGATGTGGAGGCCACAAGTTACCAATAAAAATACACAGTTTACTAACTTTAACTCGCATCTTGCTAACTTTATGATCAACCTGCTGTCAAATTGAATGAATAAATTAAAATTTCCTCCATAACTGTCTGTCAAAAGTATGAGGTAACTGGTTCATAGGAGAGACAAAATAAAGGCTGATAAAATAAGAATGTATTCAGAAGATCATTTTATTCTCTTTGTAAATTAATATACAAAAAATGCAAGTGATCAGTATTTAGGCATCCACCCCTTTCTCCCCTTCCCCCCCCCCCCCCCCCCCCCCCCCCACTCCCCTCACTATCCCAGCCTGTCAAGTTCACTCTCCTTGTCACCAGAAGTAAACCAGTGTTGAAGGGAGCCAGCTCCCCACCTTATGTAGCAGAGATTAGGATCACATGGCAGCCATTAGCCAGATGGTCGACTACTTTGTACAGGGCAGGGTCACAACTTAATAGGCACTTTCTACTCTCTTCATTTTGTACTGAATTAAATTTGAAGAAAAATACTGACCCTAAGAAGAACAACATTAGCCTGCTAGTGAAGTGCACATGACTGACCCCAACACCCATAGCTGTAGTTTTCCATGAAATTTATGAGATAAATAGAAAAATAAAACATGCCTGGTCTCAAATAATGTTGAAGTAGCCATTTGAAGAGGATTTCAAAGAAATCCCAATATTATGGAGGGCATAAAACTGAATAACTTCACAATTTTTATTAATTTTTACAGATTGGGTGGTAAATTAAAAATTTCACTAGGATACATTTTGCCAAAAAGTTAAGGGTTAATTATATGTGTGAAAAGAGAAGTGAGATATAACAATGTATTAGCCCTTCAAACAGCATAAAATAAAGGGTATGAAACTGAAGAAGTTCACCAAATTCTTAAAATTTTACAGATTTGCCAGCAAGTTATCTTATATTGATACATGTGGTTGATAATGACAGAAGAAAGCCAGGTAAAATTTTCTTATATTATCCTCAAGGTACAGCATACAGACAAAGCTACTTGCTACCAGGAGCCATGCCATCATTCTGTATGCTGAAGTAGTGGTACAGCTTGTCAGAAATAGACACCAAGTCTAAAGGAAGGATACAAGCCAAGTTATTTCCTCAACACCTCGCCTGCCCGTCTTTATAAGCCAATGGTTTAGAAGCATGATAATATGTGAGCCAGAGAAATGCATACAAGTGACTGGGCATTATACCTCCCTTAAAATAATTCATCAAACTTTAACAAATGAACAAAAGCAGGGCAGAACTAAATTTAGGTCAGATTTTTTTTTCAAATACTGTACTCAAAACTGTGTTCACTACCCAGTATTTAAATCAAAATAAATCTACTTTCATTAAACTTGTTTAATGTTACCTGGTTATACATATGATCTATCACAGAGTCAGCAATGCTCAAAGAGAACAGGGATTAAGTGTCACTGAGGTCATGTCATTTCTCCTCTGATGTTTTTCAAAATGACACTAGCTGCGTTCACAGCCTGATCAAGCTTAGCCTTTGTGCCTTCTTCTCTAGCACCACCCTGCCTGTACCCCCACCCTACAATCCCCAAATCTTTGCTTAACATATACTGGACGAAACAGTGTGTAAGTTAAAACCCATATGAATACAGTCTGGCCTATTTCTAGGGTTTCATTTATATATTTCATGATGTAATATAAGAACAGCAGTATGCTTAAGGAAGAAAAATCCGACTTTGTTCTAATTTGAAAAAAAAAATGTGTGAACTAGGAAGAAATCCATGTCTATATATAATAAGTTTATCCAATCAGTCTCAATGATTCCTTGCCATATAGCAGCACAGCTAATATCCTGTCCTACAGACAACCGAAATGATGCCATGTGTTGGCATGCCTGTAACATGGCTCAGAACACCAGGTTCACATCAACAGAAAACCAAACTGGTTCTGGTATGTTTCATCTGACAGCATTGGCTGATAATGGCTTGTCTTGTTACAGCGTCCACCTATTCTATGACCACACCTGGTCCGTTCAGGTGGTGCACTGCTGGGCTGGCAACTCCTGAACCAGTCTTGATATTTTCCATGTGAACACACTCATAAAATTCCAACTTTTCAAAATGTTTGTAAACAGAATGGTTCTCCTGTAGATGTCTATTTACTCTATTACTCATTGTATTTTCCAAACTTCAGTGACTGACTGTAACTATACAACTTCCAGACACAACTAACTTCCCCTCCATAATGTCAGCACCCATTCAATTGCTACATATGGAGACTTATAAAGGTGAAATTACTTCCATCCTTCTGCCTCTGTAAGTGTGCAAACTGTGCTTGTACTAAAACTACCTTCTTTAAAATCAACTTTCACATTTTTTTGGGCCAGTCTAACTCCTGTCTAGCCTATGAGTACTTTTGCCAACACTCAAGGCTAAAAAAAACCTTACTGCTTCCCTCTTCAGGCTTTTAATTGACAATATTATGGATGCATACGCTTTATATTGCTTAATACTTAATCATGTATCTAAAAATCAAGCCCAATGAGAGGAGCATTCATCCACTGCTGGCAGTAAATCACTGGTGGAATTCCTCTCTGTACTTCTCAATGCACAGGGTCAGTGAACACTTCTAAATATCCAGACACAGTTTATAAACTTTGTCAGATGCACAGATAAATGCCCTCAGCCTTTCTAGCACTACTTCCAAAGTTCACCGTCTGCCTGGTCTTCTAGCATGGTACATCTCTGATCTCTACTACTACACCCAGAACTTTGAGGCAAGCAGAAACTTTATCATGAAGAGTAATGGACTGCTACACATTATTCTTTATCCATAGCAGCCAACTTAACAATAATGCCTTGAGATATAAGGAAGATTAATCTTTTAAATATGTTTGTTTTTTTTTCAAAATAATAATACTCCAGAATTATGACATTATTTTTTGTGTCATCTAGTTGTAAAAGTTCATGGGTGTAAGAGTTTGTGTAGATAAGTACATGTGAACATGAATATTCTTTAAAGCTTTTGCAGGTACAATACAAATGACATCCACAATATTACTTCTCTAGTACACACTACTGCTACAGCCATAACACAATCAAGTTAACACCTCTTTAAAGGGTAAACAGTCTGAAATAGCTAATTCCACTGAGGCATCTCCTGTAGCCAGCAATTACCTCAACTCAAGCTCAGGTAAACTATAAGACAACTTTCTTCTACCTGAAGGGAGGTACCTTTCATGTTAATGGAGCTTTTCCAAGTCAGGTTTTTAGCCAGCTTTAAAATTAAGCACTGAAAGTNCCCCATATATACAACATGAAAAAAAAAAAAAAAAAAAAAAAAATATATATATATATATATATATATATATATATATATATATATATATATATATATATATATATATATATATATATATATATATAATGAAATCAGGCATAATCCCGTGAACTTTCAACCATGCACATTTTATTTTTGGCAGCATTCTGAACAAAGATTTGTACAGTTTTCTCAATACTTTCTCCTCTCCAAGCCATAAAATGCTGGCAGAATGCACCAACATAACCTATCACTTACTT